CCCCCTCCTCCCCGTCCTCCTCCCCATCCTCCTCCCCGTCCTCCCCGTCCTCCTCCCCATCCTCTTCCCCCTCCTCCTGTCCCCTGGAGGGACTCACCGTCTTCCCCGTCCTCCTGTCCAGACGCTGCTGACGCTGCTGGTCCTGCTGCTGTACCTGGGCACAGGAATTTCAGGTGAGCACCTGAGGTCTGAGGAAGGAAGCCCTGAGCCAGGCCCCCAGGCGGGGACTCTGGAGACGTGCGGCTGCCCAGGCCCCAGCCCTCCCTCCCCTTCCTGCTGGGGGTGGCCATGCTGGTTCTCCCAACTGCTCAGGGCCGGCGTTGCGTCTGCTTCAGGAAGAAGCTGGGAGATGTCGGAAGGGATCCAGGAGTGCAGCTACCCGCAGAGTGCAGCGGCTTCCCAGGTCATTAGGCCGCACTGTGAGGCTCTGGGCAGAGGCGGGAGCCAAGGGCTCTGGGGTGGGGGAGTCCAGCCCGTGGCCAGCCGGGCCGGGCGATGGACGGGTGCGGGCGGTGGGCCGGGCCGGGCTGTGGATGGGTACCATGTGCCTGGGCCCCGGGGCTTTCTGAGAGGATAAAGCTTAGGAACTGCGTCCCGAGGCAGCCCGGTGTCTGCCTCCAGGGGCTGGAGTACCAGAGCCTGGAGCCCTGGAACACCCCCGTCAAGGCCCTGCGGAGCTGGATGAAGAACAGCGTGCACGCGTTCCTGGAGAAGCTGGAGGCGGACGTGCGGGAGCTGGAGCAGCTGGTGCGGGAGCTGGAGTTTTGGCTGGACGCCCTCCTGGGGGAGCCCCACGCGGATGGCCCCTGTCTGCCGCACAGGAGCCAGGCGTGAGCACCCCGGCTGGGGCACGGGGCGGGCTGAGCTGTGACCCCCGCTTTCAGGGCAAGCAAGAAAATAAAATGACTGGGAAATGGGGCCTACCCTCTGCCTTCACCAGCGCCGATCCAGGACGCCAGAGCCCCGCGGCTGGGGGCCGTGCACATCCTCTTAGCCTCTCCGGGACCCTGCTTCCTCTTAGGTGAACATCAAAGACACATTCAGGCTCCCGTGGGTCCCTGATGTGAGGAAAGCCGGGGTCGGGTGGGGAGCGGGGCCCTGGCACGTCTCTCGGGAGACGCCGCCTGTGGCCGTCGGTGTCTGGGACTCGTGGACAGCCGCTCTCAAATCTGCGAGCGCATTTCCTCGACCGGCACACATGAGAAAGGGTTGGGTTCCTCACCCTCACTGCATTCACAAAGGCGGAGAAAAACGCCGGCCGCCCCCAGGAAAGCTGTGGGAAAGGCTACGCAAATCAGAGCATCACAAAGCAGCGAGAGACACAGATATTTGCTGCTGCCATTGACAGTGTTACTATACGCACATTGAAAACTCTGGAAGGGCCACGTGCCGGTGTGGCTGAGATCTGGAGGATTGATGTTGCAGCCCATGAGACCAGGTGCGGTGGCTCGCACGGTCATCTCAGCGACCGTGGGAAGCATCAGACAGGAAGGCTGTGTTCCGGGTGTCGGAGCCTCTCTCTAAAACAACCAGGGCAGAAAATGGCTGAAGGTGCAGCTCAGAGGGAGAGCGCTGGCCCGGTGCTTGAGTCCTGACCCCAGCACAACAAAAGAAAAGACAACAAAAGGCCTGGAAGGATGCAAGGGAGGGGAAGGCCGAGAACCGAGCGTGTGCCAGCAGAGGAGATGGAGACGGAGATGGAGATGGAGACGGCTCTGCTCTGACACGTGCTTCCTTCGAGTTGGACGATGAGCCGCGTTCACAGCCCTACCTCTGGGACCTCGCTCGGGATTGCGGTGAGCCTGGCGTCTCATGTCTGTCTCCATTTTAGTGGAGTTGTTATGTCCGTGCCAATTACTAAAGTGCTGAACCCCCTGGAAAATCATGAGGACACAAATTAAGCTGCTCTCAGAGGAAGTCTGCCATGCAGGGGGTGGCTAGGTAATTTGTTTGCCCAGGAGACTTAGTTGTCTTTGGGGATGGAAAAAGTCTTGAAATTATGACCCCAATTTTCTACTTTGAGCCCTCTGGGCGGTGGAGCCAGAGTCCCTTCCCCCACCCGCTGGTCTGCCCAGTCCCTGTCCATGGGCAGAGACTACAGGCATTTCCCCGCTGGAGACTCGAGGCACCCAAGCCACATAACCACCCAGGACGGTTCTGTGGGCACTTTGACAATGCACCATTTTCCCCCGACGTAAACTTTAGACTCTAGTCTCCACCGGTTGAAATTCTGTATTTGCAATCTAAATGCCTGTGAATCTGCATCTGTATTTATGTCGCAGTACAGATTTTATGTTGGTGTGTTTTATGCAGGTTGAGCAGCTCCAATTGGAAATTTAAAAACACTCAAAATCTGAAGCTTTTTGAGTGCTCACACGATGCTACAGTCTCTGGGGGTGCTAGTCAAAATGCAACTGCGCCAAAAATATGGTGTAAAATTACAAGGGAGAGGAGGATGTGGTGGCTCACACCTGAAATCTGACACCCAGGAGACGTGGCTGAAGGCCAGTCTGGAAAAAGTGAGACCTCATCGCAATCCATCAACCAGGCGAGGTGGTGCGTTCCTCTGGTCCCAGCAACCCAGGGGGCTGAGGCAGGATGACCGGTCCAAGGCCAATGCAGGCAACGCACGTGATCCTGCCTGGAAAGAACAAACAAAAACAGAAGCACTGGGGTGTGGCCAGTGTGGTGTGCTTGCCCAGCGAGGAAGCCTAACTCAAAGCCTCCGCCGAGGGGAACATCCCATTCTGGCCATATTGATTAGGTAGAGATAGACAAGCCAGCTGCGGTGGCACAGGCCTGTAATCCCCCCGGGGGCTCGGAGTTTGAGGCCTGCCTGGGTACCTACTAGGACTGATTCAAACAACAAACATGAGCGTTCACACTTGCATCCCAGGCCCAAGGTAGGATATTATATACATATATACATACATGTGCACATATCCCAAAGTTCCCCAAACCCTCTCAAGTCCAAAATACTTCTAGTCCAAGAATTTCCGAGAAGCAACACTCAATTTGTATGCAAAATACATTTTATGTGTTTGCTTATAGAATTTGGAATAAAATTTGGGATACCTTTAAAGGGGGGTGTGGGGGACGCAGCGCCAGCTTCCTGAAGGAATGAGCAGAGCCGGTATGCTCCCCCCTCGCACGCCGGTCAGCTTCCGCGGTCACTCCGCTGCCGCCTCCCGGCGGGCTGTCCGTGCGTCCTGCCTCCAGGCCTCCTGTCCTCTCCCTAGCAAGGTCTCCTGTCCTCACAGCCACCTGCTCTCTACGGACTGCAGAATTCTGTCCACGCTGCCCGGGCCGGGTGCCAGGGTGGCCTCGGACTCTGGCCTGGTCTTAGCCTGGCCACTCCTGGCCCAGTCGGGACCCCAGCCCCGCACTGGAGCCAGTGGCCAGGCCAGCAGAGGCCTGGGGTGAGCTCAGGGTGAGAAGAGCATCTCGGGGGCA